GGAGAAAGACTCATGCATGTGTAGGGCATAAAACTGGAGAAGAAAATTGGAGGGAAAGAGATTTATTCACTTTTGCCCTCAAGAACCTATGTCCATAAAATGCCAGGTTTGCCTTAGAGAAGCATACCTGTCCAGCTAGACTACAGCAGTGGTGGGATGAAGCACATCGAGGGAGGCTGGGGTCAGGAGTTCAGGACACCCAGCAAGGCTGAGCCAAGATGCAGGTAGGAACAAAGAGCCAGACCGAACGTGGCTTCCCCATGGAAAGACCCAAGTTCAAATGGCTTCAGAGTCAGGCTGTAATCTGGGGCTCAGGCTGTTGGGCATGTTTCCTGTCCAACTGTGGGTGTGAGGAAAATGCATGTGTGGCACAAGTGCTGTGGGCACAGAGCCAGTGAAAGGCATGGGGTGTCATTCAATCAAATGGGAGGCAGGAGCCAGCTGGCAGAGGTAAGGGCATGCAGGTATTATGTATTTATCCTATTTTACTTCACACTATATTATTTTTAAAATTTATTTCCTTTCTGGCCTCCTTCCTAGAAAGATTAAATTTCACTTTCAATAAGTGACACACTGAGATAAGAGATTAGGGGACAAATAATGCACTCAGGGGATTAGATTGGGGAATGGATACTAATACTAAAAATACTACACCTCAGTGAGTCACAGTTCAGCCCCAAACCAGCTGTTTTTAAGTCCACATTGACTGAACTGTGACTATGAACTAAGCACTTATCATGCCTGATCTTGTGTTCTCCCAGTAACCTAGAAAATGGGTATTTTATTATTACCTCCATTTATTACTTATTTATTATTTTATTGTTATTTCCATTTAAAACATTTGGGGAGAGTGTGCCTGGTTTTGGGGGGTGCTGGTTGAGCATCTGACTCTTGGTTTTGGCTCAGGTCATGATCTCAGGCTCATGAGATTGAGCCCCATGTTGGGCTCCACAGTCAGCATGGAGTCTGCTGGAGATTCTCTCCCTCTACCTCTCTCTCTTTCTAGTAAAAATAAATCTTTTTTCCTCTTCTTCTTCTTCTTATTTATTTATTTTTAAAAAGTTTTTATTTATTTATTTGACAGAAAGAGATCACAAGTAGGCAGAGAGGCAGGCAGAGAGAGAGGAAGGGAAGCAGGCTCCCTGCTGAGCAGAGAGCCTGGTGCGGTGCTCGATCCCAGGACCCTGGGACCATGACCTGAGCTGAAGGCAGAGGCTTTAACCCACTGAGCCACCCAGGTGCCCTCTTCTTTTTTAATAGCAAATGAGGAAATTTGACTTGTAACTTGGAGTCCCACAGCCAGAACATGGCAGAACTGGGATTTGAACCTGGTTTGGCTTTAGAATTTGGGCTCTTGATCATATACATAATACCAACTCTGAAGGTGGCAGATGTGGAGAAATCAAGTCAGCAGGTGGCCAGGGTTAAATTGTCAAGACATCTATTTCCTGAAAAATGCTGGGTATCAAGAGAATAAGGCAGGGAATGCTGGATGGATAGTGCAGTTAGAACATGAACAAAATCTATGAGTGTCTGCTGTCTGTGTTTGGGACCAGGGTGGATTCTGTCCTCAACATACAAGTAGAAATTACATGGCAGTAACTTTTAAGCTTAGGAAGAGAAAGGGAAAGAGAATTTAGAGTATCTTAAACTATTCCTCCATTCCTTCCTTCAACTATTACAAGCCACATCACAGAGCCCTTGGTACCTAATGATAGACACCAGACCACTCACCATGACTGGTAACCAAAGGAGGTGAAAGATCACACGAATAGAAACTTGACACAAATGTGTTTCCAGCATTGCCTGGGAAATCTCTCTCCTAATTCCTAGTTTCTGTTCTCCCTCCTCTGGTGGGGCTTAATGGGATCTGGATTTGGTATACTTCCCTTCTTAATAGCATGAGTCTTAACCTTTTTTCTTTCTTTTTTTTTTTTTTAAAGATTTTATTTATTTATTTGACAGAGAGATCACAAGCAGGCAGAGAGGCAGGCAGAGAGAGAGGAGGAAGCAGGCTCCCTGCTGAGCAGAGAGCCCGATGCGGGGCTCGATCCCAGGACTCTGAGATCATGACCTGAGCCGAAGGCAGAGGCTTTAACCCACTGAGCCACCCAGGTGCCCCTTAACCTTTTTTCTTTATTGAACATTTTTTGGGGTTGAGTTAAAATGTTCAATAGCATTTTTTGTGTACTTACTGTGGACCAGGCACTATGCTAGGCACTGAAGATGAAAGGAAAAAAATGAGTTTCAGGCAGCTCTATGCCTCTAAATACCACCAGCAATGCCAGCGTAATGAAACTGTTCTTCAGAATCAACTGAGGACCTCCAGAAATCTATCTATGCTCTGCAATCTCCATTCTGAAAAGTAAAGGCTGTGCTCATTATCTAGGTGGAAGCAAAAAATAAGATGATGACAAGATTTTTGTAAGTAGTGGAAGATTCGGGGATAGAATCAAAGATTAGTGACTATTATATCAGTGCCCCTTGTGCAATATCAGATTACCTCTTTTAGGATTTGTTTGAACTCAAATCTGGCGGCAACTCTATGTCTGAGAAGTAGCTGCAGGTCTGGGGAGCATTTGCTGAAGTTGCTGAAGTTATGGATAAAAAGACCAGAGAAAGCAGTGTGAAACACAGAAGCCAACATTCTTGTTTGTAAGTAATATTGAAACATATTCTGGCATACTTAGGCTGGAAAGATACTTATTGGAAGCTCTTGGGAAGCCAAGAGAATTATAGGGAAGGCTGAGGGTGTCAAGGAGGGCTGGAGGAGCTAGGAAGCTGGAACTAAATCTATGTTCTAGAAAGTCTGGCACTGCCATCACCTCTGGAGTGGCTGCAAAGCTGCTGATATTGGATTTGGGATGCCACTGCCATTGGTGGGATGCAGTCTCAACAGGCACTGCCTCTTTATACATTTACTTTCAATTCTCAGTCCCAAACAGAAGCGTCCAGTTGATGAAGCTGAGGTGATGTGCTCACCTTACAGGGTGGGAAGAAGGGATACCTGACATTTCAAGTTTCCATGACACAAGGGGAGCCCTGCTTTCCACTCAGACTCATCCAATGATGTATTCCACCTCCTCCCCAAGGAAGGGGTTTCATTTATTGAGCAAACAAAAACAACAAATGTCAACCATAATGGAGACAAAAAAATAAAGAGAAAGAAGTCCTAGGTGGTCCTTGTATGTGTTCTATCCCAGTCTTCCCCTGTTGGTGATAGAATCTTGTTATTTCTCTGCCTTCATCCCCTAGAATAATAGTATCAAATAAAGACATATTGGAAAACACTTCCTCAAGGATTCCATTTCTTATGAAATCGCTTCCATGTTTGGTCAGAAGGGGGCACCCTGAAAGGGAAATGAGTATTTTCCATTTGTCCTACTCTGCAGTGTGGAATAGGGCAGTTAACACTTAGCACTAATCAGGAATAGTAGTATTAATATTAGTAATTTAAGGAAAGAACCTAAGGAAAGATAAAGTTATACAAAGAATATGTATATATACACACATATATACATATATGTATATACACAACTATACACATACATATATATACATATTTACATATACATATAGTGAAGAGAAAAACCCCAGTTAATCATCAAGTTCAACATCAGGCTAATTATTTTTCCTCCTCTTAGTATTTTGTTGTTTCATACATAACAATTAAATCTCAGAATGTGAGATTGAAATACCTAGGTCAGTAAAATGCACAGTACTCCTGCATTTGCTCACCAAAGCAATACACTGTTGAAGGTGGGACACCAGCAGAAGGGATTTATAAAGTTCCAGTTGACTTTTAATTGCATGAAGTATAAGGATCTGGATTCCTGACTTTAGGGTATGAGGAATATTATGATGTTAACTATGAAGGGATTGCTTACCTATCCAGAATAATGAGTGTTCTTAAACATTTTGGGGGACAGAATGAAAAGAAAATAGCAAGATATATTTCATCTTTCCCTTACTATTAGCAAAACATCATATATATATATATATATATATATATATATGGATTTCTAGACCATTATTTCATATCAGCATTACTTTGTCGTGGGAGTCACAAGAATGTCAATCTGAGAGATATAGGCCTTACAATAACTACAAGGTTCTCTATTTCTGACTTTCTACGACCATACACTCCACATTTTGGGCTCACTGGATTAGCTAATTCTTCCTAGGGCAACAAAGGACAAACCCCTTTGGCTCTTCATGGTTTTGTTCAGAAGTGAGGACGTGATTTCCTGTCCAAACCAAGTGCACTTGGACCAGTAACTCACCAAAATGTTGCTTGCTATGACAGCGTCAATCAAAAGTGTGTGAAATTGATATGGACAGTATCTTGGGTATGAATATAAATACATTTTACAAGTTAAAATGTCCCTTCAGTGACAATTTAATGCCAAGAAGTTTGTCCAGGTTTCTCTGTAGTTTATATTTCTCATTCCTATAGTCGGGTCTCTGACTTAGGAGTTCCTTATACTTTGTATCCTTCCTTTGTGCCTCTGGGGGTCCTTCAACAGGAGTACTAAAGTCTATTGATTATGCACATTTCACCAGAACCAAAAAATGATAGTTTGGAAGGCCCCAGTGACTTCTAAGAAGCACTGGCCTAGAAGGGCAAGATGTGTATGAAATGTCTCTTGCTCTGCCAAATTGAGTACTTAGGTCCTTAAGTAGTACATAGGTACTTAATAAATACTAACTGCATGAATCAGTGAATACGAATGGTAAACGAAACCGTTCTTTACAAGCACGATCTACATCCAGCTGGAAGCCCAGCATGTAAGTTTACAGACCGGCCTCCACTCGAAGGCCGCTTTCCCGGGAAGTCCGAGCTTGGGCTGAAGAGCAGTAAGAAGTGCCGGTCAACCGTCGCGACAGGCGGGCCTCGCACCACCTCTCCACAGCCTGCCACCTACCGGCTCTAGGACCCAGCGCAGCACCGACTGAAACTTGGAGGCGGGACTAGGAGGAGGCCGTCGCGCACACGTGACGTGAACCAGCTCGCGCCAGCGGAGGTGAGGAAGCCGGGAATAGCGCAGAAACACGTTTCTCGCTAGCCTCGGTTCTCACGCGCCATGGCGACCCCAGTCCAGCAGCCTCCTCAGTCGAGCGGCGGAAAGCGCAAAGGCAAAGCTCAGTATGTGCAAGCCAAGCGGGCGCGGCGCTGCGACGGCGGCGGGTCCCGGCAGCTGGAACCCGGGCTACAGGGTATTCTCATTACCTGCAACATGAACGAACGCAAGTGCGTGGAGGAGGCGTACAGCCTGCTCAACGAATACGGCGACGACATGTATGGGCCGGAAAAGGTACGGGCCCCGGAGAGGGCAAGCGGCCTTTGAGGAGTGAGGGAATGCTGCAAGGCCGGCTTTCTTCTACGCGTGCGCGCATTTTGTGGCGGCGCTGGCGAAGGGGCGTGGCCGCCTCTGTGCTGCCGCCTCTTTACCTTATCTGGGTTGCAGACCCCAGCCGGGTCGTGTGCTTGAAAAACTTGCAGCTTTCGGTTGTTTTGTTTTGTTTTCTTCCTCCCCCATTAGTAATCATAGTGGCTCCTATTTATAGGTTGCTTCTGCGGCCCACATGTTGTGTTTCTGAGGCTCTCAAACGTTTCCTACTTACAGTAGATTTGTGGAGTAATGTTCATGAGGACACTGAAACTCAAATTGGTTAAGTGAACGGTCCAAGTTAATAAAGGAGACTTAATTTGTCCTCATAGTTTCTGACGTATCTTACCATTTTTACACCATGGTTGTAATGATGTTTGTCCTGAGCAGTGTCTCTGAAATAGTGGGTTTAGTACTAGTGCTAGTTATTTTTAAAATGCGCGTGTAAATGCAATTTAAAAAGTAAGAACTTTTTGTCCTCACACCACCTAAAACCTAATTTTCACATCACAGTTTGGAAATCATTATATTCCTAGCTTAGGATCAGGACTAATACATACACAAACACCTCAATGAATTAAAAGAGGGAGGCTAATACAGGGGGCATTTGGATTAAAGGTCCATTATTTACTAGTTTTAGGGCTTAAACGCGGGTGTATTATTTAATTTTGCTGAGCTAAATAAAGAAAAATGATAGTGTACTTAATGTTGACTGAAAAGTTGCTTATGTATATAAAATACATCCTGGCAGTTAATAAAGTTTCCATAAATGTGTATAATAATTATTAGTGCTTGTCTGGCAAACTAATAATGGTGGGGCAGAGAACTGGGCAAGAAGTGAGTGTCCTGTCTACACTGGTACCTTGAGCAAATTCTCGACTCTTTCTGTTCCCTGTTCCTTAGTAGAATATAAGGGCTTTTTATGCCCTGTTTGGTCTAATTGATGTAGTTTTTGAATGTAGGTGAGGTCCAGAGCTGAGGCCCAAGAAAGAATTCTCGAGAGGTCTTTGGTGCAAAATGGTGGCTTTATTAAAGCACCTGGTCAGGACCTGTGGGCAGAAAGAGCTGCTGCACAGGGGTTGTGAGGTGTGACTGATTATATACTTGGTAGTTGGGAGAGGTAAAGGAAAAGGGAGGTTTTCAAAAGAACTTTTGGATGTTAAAGAGGACCTACAGGATATTAGAGCCTTTGCCATTATCAAGTTAGGGTTGTTTTTTCCCCTCTACTAAAGCATTAACAGTAAGATATTTGGGAGTTTCCTCTGGAAGTTAGGTTATTGATAAGAAATGCTTTTTTTTTTGCCCCCCTGGTAAATCACTAAAACATTTGTAAGATGAGGGAGACTCTTGTCCTGCAGGACTGTGATCTCTATTTATTAACCATTTGTTTTTCCCTCCCTTAGCATTAGGGCAGCCAGGTGTACCTGAAGAATGTCACACATATCCCACCTGGGAGGGGACTGGGGTTTGCAAGCTGTCAGGTTGGGCTTTGTCCTCTGCCTTCTACTTGCTCATCATAATCTCACCAAAAGGAGAATGTCTTAATAGGCGCAAAGGTATCCGGTGATTGGAATTAAGGTCTATCTTGAATGAATTCATCTGGTGAGCATGTTACCCTGTGTCCCAGAAGGTTAAGATGTTTTTCAAAGCATTTTCAAATTATATGAGGGAACTCCGTTTTTCCTCCACATTTCGTAGAGAGAGATGTCAGCTTCTTTCTTTTTCTTTTTTTTTTTTTTTTTAAGATTTTATTTATTTATTTGAGAGGGAGAGAGGGAGAGATAATGAGAGGAGAGAGGTCAGTGGGAGAAGCAGACTCCCTGCTAAGCAGGGAGCCCAATATGGGTCTTGATCCTGGGACTTCAGGATCATGACCTGAGCCAAAGGCCGTCGCTTAACCAACTGATTATTGTCCAGGCGCCTGCGATGTCAGTTTCTTAATAAAAAGCTTTATTGTCAGTATTGACCTGTCTGCCATTGGAGATTTCACATAGGTAGTTAATTGTAGCTTTTAACATGAACTCTTTTTGCATCTCTGCTCATTTGTTTCATGCAGTTTACGGACAAAGATCAGCAGCCCTCTGGAAGTGAGGGAGAAGATGATGACATGGAGGCTGCCTTGAAGAAAGAAGTTGGTGACATTAAAGCATCGACAGAGATGAAGCTAAGGAGATTCCAGTCAGTGGAGAGTGGAGCAAATAATGTAGTCTTCATCAGGACACTTGGAATAGGTACGCATGACTAATAAACTTTAAGATTATTGAGCCTATAATATCTGGACATCTCCTTGCCTTAGAACACTGCCTACAAAATGGCTTCATGGTTATTGCTCAGTTAATTATTTGACTGATCTTTTCTACACTGTTCTAGCACTAGACATATGGAAGGGTCAGATGGGATGGTGAACATCACATTGGCTTAGGAGTGGAAACCTGGCTTTACCACTTTCTTTGTATGTAACTTTAGGTGAAACAAGAGTACATATTCTGTTTAAGAGGAGCAGTTGCTCTTCAGTGCCAGCCAATTTGGAATGTAAGCCTTTAGGGCCAGATCTTCTGGTTTTTCAAAAGAAGTTGAAAATCTGGAGAAGTTCCTAGATTTTTTAATGCAGTTAACTAATTTAAAAGTATTAAAAACACTCAGTAGCCCCAAACAGACTTGTAAGTAGTGAGGATGGCCTAAGGACCATATCATGATCTTGTGTAATTCATGGTTTGGGGGCTTCTCTGAGTTCTGAGATCTAGATTATTGTCCAGACTTAACTAATGGATAAATTAAATCTTTTTAAAAATGACTTGCAGATTTGTTTTGTAAAAGAGTGTACTATTTAATAATGTTACGTTTGTAGTTGCTATTGTTACAGGAAAACAGTAGGGTGTTGGACAATGAGACATAACAAAAATGTTAACTCCAGTGTCTTCATGAACAGTTGTTTTTAATGAAAGCAGTAACAATGCTGAAGAGTTAATATATTAGGGCGCCTGGATGGCTCAGTTTGCTAAGCTATTGCCTTTGGCTCAGGTCATGATCCTGGAGTCCCAGAATCGAGTCCCGCATTGGACTCTCTGCTTGGCAGGGAGTGTGCTTCTCCCTTTGACCCTCCCCCTTCTCATGCTCTCTTTCTCTCTCTCTCTCAAAAAAAAAAAAAAAAACTTTAAACAAAAGAGTTAACATATTAGATATAGTAATAATCAGTATGGGCAGTGAAGAAAGTTGGAAAAAATGTTTGATTAGACTTATTTAACATTCATTATGATAATTTCTTCTATTATACTGTTGACATAGGTCACTGCCAATGAAGAATTCATCAATTTCAAGAGCTTTTAAAATGTCTGAGAGTTTTTATTCCTAACTTACTTACTTGTTTGCTTTGTGCTTTTTTTCTTTTTTCTTTTAGAACCTGAGAGATTGGTACATCATATTCTCCAGGATATGTACAAAACCAAGAAGAAGAAGACTCGGGTTATTCTACGTATGTTACCCATTTCAGGCACATGCAAGGCTTTCTTAGAAGATATGAAAAAATATGCAGAAACATTTTTGGAACCCTGGTTTAAAGCTCCAAACAAAGGGACATTTCAGATTGTATATAAATCTCGAAATAACAGTCACATGAATAGAGACGAAGTTATCAAAGAATTGGCAGGTATGTTTTTCTTAGTGATTTTACATTAGTATGTAATACTAAATACTTGTTCTTGATTTTATTAAATTTTTTTTTTTTTTTTTTTTTTTTTTACAACTTAAGGCTTATATTTTTGAGTATAAAAGAAGTATATTAAAATGTCTTTAAAATAGGAGTACCTGGGGGCACCTGGGTGATTCAGAGGGTTAAGCCTCTGCCTTTGGCTCAGGCCATGATCTCAGGGTCCTAGGATTGAGCCCCACATTGGGCTCTCCGCTCAGCGGGGAGCCTGTTCCCCTCCCCCCACCCCGCCTGCCTCTCTGCCTACTTGTGATATCTCTCTCTGTCAAATAAATAAAAATCTTAAAAAAAAAGAAAAAATAGGGGTACGTGCCTGGCTTAGCCAGTAGAGCATGTGACTCTAGATCCCAGGGTTGTGAGTTCAAGCCACACATTGAGGGCAGAGACTTTTTTTTTTTTTTTTATTAAATTTTATTTTTTATAAACATATATTTTTATCCCCAGGGGTACAGGTCTGTGAATCGCCAGGTTTACACACTTCACAGCACTCACCATAGCACATACCCTCCCCAATGTCCATAACCCCACCCCCCCTCTCCAAACCCCCCTCCCCCCATCAGCCCTCAGTTTGTTTTGTGAGATTAAGAGTCACTTATGGTTTGTCTCCCTCCCAATCCCATCTTGTTTCATTTACTCTTCTCCTACCCCCTTAACCCCCCATGTTGTATCTCCTCTCCCTCATATCAGGGAGATCATATGATAGTTGTCTTTCTCCGATTGACTTATTTCGCTAAGCATGATACCCTCTAGCTCCATCCACGTTGTCGCAAATGGCAAGATTTCATTTCTTTTGATGGCTGCATAGTATTCCATTGTGTATGTATACCACATCTTCTTTATCCATTCGTCTGTTGATGGACATCTAGGTTCTTTCCATAGTTTGGCTATTGTAGACATTGCTGCTATAAACATTCGGGTGCACGTGCCCCTTCGGATCACTACGTTTGTATCTTTAGGGTAAATACCCAGCAGTGCAATTGCTGGGTCATAGGGTAGTTCTATTTTCAACATTTTGAGGAACCTCCATGCTGTTTTCCAGAGTGGTTGCACCAGCTTGCATTCCCACCAACAGTGTAGGAGGGTTCCCCTTTCTCCGCATCCTTGCCAGCATCTGTCATTTCCTGACTTGTTAATTTTAGCCATTCTGACTGGTGTGATATCTCATTGTGGTTTTGATTTGTATTTCCCTGATGCCGAGTGATATGGAGCACTTTTTCATGTGTCTGTTGGCCATCTGGATGTCTTCTTTGCAGAAATGTCTGTTCATGTCCTCTGAGGGCAGAGACTATTAAAAAAAAAAATCCTTAAAATAATATCAAATCTAACAAATTTCAATATGTTGGTTATGAGACTTTCTGGTAGGTAAATAGGAAATCTTCCAAATCAAGATTTAATTTTCTTTGGAAAAAAAGGACTCTAATTAATGTCTCGGCATTTCATTTGTATTTATTTATTGAAAGGGTTCACAGCATTCTTTTTGTAAAGATTTATTTACTCATTAGAGAGTGTGAGAGAGCATGAGCTGGGGGTGGGAGGAGAGGGAGACAAACAGACTCCCCACTGAGCAGAGAACCCAATAATGGGGCTTGATTCCAGGACACCGAGATCATGACCTGGGCCACCCCAGTCAGATTCACAGAATTTGACTAGGGACCATGTAGAAGAGTAGACTGTATATAAATTGGTTTAACAAGTCCCAAACAGAAAGATGAAAGATTGTATTTGTATCTGTCAAGCTTCATGGTATCCCTCTCCCTCTGTTTTCCTCTTCTTTTTGTTACAGGAATAGTAGGCAGCCTTAATTCGGAAAATAAAGTGGATCTCACTAATCCGCAGTACACGGTGGTAGTAGAAATCATTAAAGCTGTCTGTTGCCTGAGTGTTGTGAAAGATTATATGTTGTTCAGAAAATACAATCTCCAGGAGGTGGTAAAGAGTGCTAAGGACCCATCACAACTTAACCCAAAGCAGTCCGTGCAAGCAGGAAATGGGAAAGAAGCTAAATTGGAATCTGGTAACACATCAAATCAACATGATCCAGCAGAAGGAAAAAATTACCAGCAGGTGGTAACAGAAAATAATGAGGAACTGGGGCAGACAAAACCAAGATCTGAGACACAGGTGGTGAACGAGGGAGGAGCTAAACCTGAACTTGAAAGTCAAGTCACAGAAAGATCTGAGTCAAATGAAAATGACCTCTCATAAGGATAAAAAAACCTTCTTTGGTGTTGCAGGTGGGTTTCCCAGGTGGCGTTCGGTGAGATAGTGCTAGGATTCCATATAAAATTATGACTGAAAATACATTGTTTTTGACCTTTGTGCGCTGCATAATGCTGAACTCATAATATTGAACGGTGATTGAGAAACCCCATTAATGGTTCTGTTGGAGATCTTTTGAACCCCCTATGCCAGTGTGCAGTTAGGCCTATATGCATTTGGTTGAGCTAGGAGAGGCTATGGATAATGATGAACATTTCCATGGAGGGGAGGGTGGAAGGAAGATAGTGTTGGCTTCTCCCTCCTGATTATCTTCCCCAGCCTCCCCTTCTGTGCTGGCATCTGACTTAGGGGAGCAAACGAACTCTGTAAAAGAGAAGTCATAGGGAAATTTTCATTTAAGGAAGGAATTTTTATGTGTTGCAACTCAGCTGTCCCTTCCTACTTTTGTTGTAAACATTGCAAAAACATGGGTCTTACAGGTTTAGAAGTGAATTGTTTTTGTGAAGTTTTTTCTATCTTTTTGTGATTCTGTTACTTAGTTATGTCAGTTTTTACATTTTATGAACATTTGTTACAAATATGATGGTCTAGTGCTGTAATTTTTGAAGACATGGTGTGAGATAGAAGAGGACCATTTTAGGCATACAACTACAGACATTTCTGCTAAGGTTAGTGATGAAGAATTAGTGTTCTGAGTTTCTTCAGTATGGCAGTGGAACAAGAGACACAAATTCTTTTTTTATAGTGAAAACTACTTTTCAGTGATCTTATATAGACTTAAATCCAAGTTGTTCTATTGCATTATATATTGTCAGTGGAATGCAACTTACAAACCTAGCATTTCTCCAGCAGTTGTAACTGTAAGTCAAAACCATTTGATGAGTAAAAATGTTTGTTATTTTAATGGCATCTGGAATATCAAAACAGTAAGCTTTTGTTTAAAAAAAAAAAAAAACATTTCAGGGGCACCCTGGCTGGCTCAGTCCATACAGCATGAGACTGTTGATCTCGGGGTGATACATTCAAGCTCCATGTTGGATGTAGAGATTACTTAAAAATAAAATCTTAAATAAAAATCACAGTGAAAGGTCTAAGAAGCAAATTATTTAGTAACAGCACTTATACCAAGAAAAGAAAAATTCACAGCCTGCTTCCTTTCCTCTCTCTCTGCCTGCCTCTCGGCCTATTTGTGATCTCTGCCTGTCGAATAAATAAATAAAATATTAAAAAGAATCTAATCTCAGCATAATGTTAAAATGCTAGAGTAAGAAGCAGTACAAAAAATTCAAAAACCTTCACTTTCGGTTTATTAAATTAACTATGTCACCTGATGCTAAAAAATTAACTGAAAAGCAGCAGCTTCTCTATCTGGGTTGATAAGTCAACAGATTTCACAAATATTTGTCATACTATAGCTTTGGTAAGATTGGTAAATGATGATGAAATTCAAGAAAGCTTTTTCTGCTATGAGGAGCCTCTCAAAACAAAGGCAGTATAAATTTAATGGGTCTTCATATCGGAAGGCTGAAAGTCTGTCATCTTTACTTCGGGTGCTCATCGATTTTGCTCATTTTGGTAAAATCCTGACCAAAAAAAAAAAAAAGCACATGGCTTTCTTCACAGAGAGCTGCTGATATAAAACACTTGGAGATGAAATGAAAGTTCTGGATAATGCTGCAGAAATTATTATTAAAGACCCATTTATATAAGAATGTTTAAAAAAAAAAACAAAGTCTGAACAGAGAGCACATAAATCTACGTACAGAAATCCAGTGGCTTGTCAGAGGAAGAGTTCTCAATAGGATGTTTGAGTTGAAAGGTGAATTGCCAGAGTACATACAAGGAGATATTAGGCCAGATTTTTTTTGAGTGCTCAGAAGCCCAAGTATGGCTATAGAAACTAGTCTGTTCAATGGACATTTTTCATCACATGAACAAATGAAACAAGTTTCTGCAAGGTCCTGGAGAAAATGTATTTTCTTGAAAGTGATAAGATTCTCAGATTAAAAAGAAACAGACTCTTCGGAATTATCACTCTGCCAAAGGAACTCTTAAAATGTTTCCACAGCCAGTTGGGTATGAGAATGAAGAAAAGATAGCAACAAGTCTGGAGCCTTAACTAAAACTCTCCATGAAGAACTGCAAAACCTAATTAAATAGCATTTTCTCTCCTTTTCCTAAAACTGAGGGAAGAACCTCTTCTCTGAATCTCAGCCTGAGATTTTTCCAGAAGAAAAAGAACTCTGTGAATCATAGTCTGATAGTTCTGGGTTTTTGTGAAATCAGAGTATCCTTAACTTACTGCTCATACTCTCATGCCATGAGGGTTCCCTTAATTTGGAAGATTTTTCAAGGTTTCCTCTAGCGTAAAATTACTGGAAAACACTGGAAGAGACAGACACCAAAGAGGGCTGCATACTAAGTCCAGATTATGAATAAATAGTAAGAGGCTGTGAAATTAACTTTTGGAGATGGGTTTATTAAGTTTGAAACAGTTCAGTAGTATTATAAATGTTGAGTCTTCCTGCACCAATGTCTGTGTTTATTTAATGGCTAGGGAATATGGGAATGTATTTTTATCCTCCTAAACTAGTGGTCCAGACTAGAAGGATTTGGGAGGGGCAAAGGCTGATTTCTGTACAGACTCGACCTTGGTTAATGCAGATGAGGCTGGAGCGTCCTTCTAGATCTTCGATATTTAAAGTGTTAACTCTTATAGGTTGAGGTCATCTTGGAAGGATGATAAGAGCATTTTAAGTGTCATTTGTGTGAACATGGAGGATAGGATTTTGGTGCCTTCATTGGACTTACTCCAAGAAAAAGATCATTTTATTTTGATAATGCAAGACTCTGGGACTTCGGGAATAAAAGTGGCCATATGCTTTTAGAACGGCTAACTTTGCAGAACTGGATTCCTTTTACTTTGTTTAAGCTGCTACTCTACGGAAAGATTTTGCTTTAGTAGTTCATTTTTAATCTTCTTGTATTTATTTGTATTTGGTTAGACTGAGTGCGACAAAAGCTCTTCCCTAGTTCTAAAGCACTGTGTTCTGTTGGAATCTGAATCCCTTTATTGATATATGAAAGGTTTCCCAACTTTATTGTCGCTGACATTTGAGGATGTTGTTTTATAAATGACAAATTTCCAGGATGGGAATTGAATGGTTTCTTTTTTTTCCTTTTAATTTTTTTTTTTTTAAGTTATGTCAGTTAAAAAAAACTTCAGTATTGTGGTTTAATAAACTTGTTTTGCTTTGTGGAGGAAGGAGTGTTATACTTAGTATCTTGAAACATGTTTGTGTAAGGTCACACATGATTTCTAAATGTTTTTACTTGTATTTTGCTTTTGGTATGGCCAGATGTTTAGCTTATTTTTCATAGTTCCTGATACTTTCAGAAAAAGCAAAATAAATTTGTTCCCTAAAGATTGGTGTTCTGTGCTTTTTTTTCCTGTCTTTTATTAAATCTCTTGCTTTATAATACATAATAAAAGATGCTTATATCTCACATTATGTATCAAAAGTCATGTACATTGTCCTAAAACATATAGATATAAAACTCTTAATAATTGCTCTTGATTAATTACTCTTAAGTAATCCAAACTTGGGATATTCTATGCTTTAAAAGGAGGTATGGGGTGCCTGGGTGACTCAGTCGGTTAAGCGTCCAACTCTTGATTTCAGCTTGGGTCTTGATATCAGGGTTGTGAGATCAAGCCCCATGTTGGGCTCTGTGCTCAGTGGGGAGTCTGCTTGGGATTTTTCTCTCTCTGCACCCCCACCCCATTTTCTCTAAAATAAGTAAATCTTTAAAAAAAAAAAGTATAGTAATACAGTACTCGATTAAATTCACTTACTGGCTTTTGAGTTATTTATATTACTTATTTTTTAAAAATACTTATTTGAGAGAGAAGGAGAGATCACAAGTAGGCAGAGAGGCAGGCAAAGAGAGAGGGGGAAGCAGGCTCCCTACTGAGCAGAGGGCCTGATGCAGGGCTTGATCCCAGGACCCTGAGACCATGACCTGAGTTGAAGGCAGAGACTTAATCTGCTGAGTCACTCAGTGCCCCTATATTACTTACTTTAAAATTAATATTTTAATTCACTTTATTTCTGTTAAGTAGGCTCCACACCTATCAGAGCCCAACATGGGGCTTGAACCCATGACTCTGAGGTCAAGACCTGAGCAGAGTTGAGGAGTCAGATGCTCAACCGACTGAAACACCCAGGCACACCTTTAATTCACTTTAAAGAACTAGTAATACAAGATGTTAAGCAGAAGAAATTCTGTCTTGAACACTTCTCTTAGAATAGTACTAATCTTTATTTTGGCTTAATCAGGCACAAGATAAATTCATTGTCCACTGTGCTTTTCTAAGTAATCATTTGCTATTTTAAACGCTGTTGGTCATTAAAATCACTGCCTTTGGGGCACCTGAGTGGCTCAGTGGGTTGAGCCGCTGCCTTCGGCTCGGGTCATGATCTCAGGATCCTGGGATCGGGTCCTGCATCGGGCTCTCTGCTCAGCGGGGAGCCTGCTTCCCTCTCTCTCTCCCTGCCCGCCTCTCTGTCTACTTGTGATCTCTCTCTGTCAAATAAATAAATAAAATCTTTAAAAAAAAAATCACTGCCTTTGTCAGTTTGGTCATCATAACTTTTTTTCCCAAATATTTTTGAATTATTATTTATATAATTTTTGGCTAAGTACAGAATGAAAAATTGAGTTTTTCAACCTGGAAAAACCTTCAGCATTGCAAGAGAGTAGTCTCTAAATCAGCAGGAAGCAAGGACTAAAAAGAAGTCTATAACTATTTAATGCTGTAGTTGCTTATTGGGCTATGTTTGACCCCATTCATGGTCTCTCAGAACATTGCGTTTGATTTTCCCGGTGATTGTCTTCGGGAGTTCTGGAACAAATTCCACCTAATTAACAGAGAAACATACTATGAGACACTTGATTCTGTTTTGACAATCCCAGTTGTCAGTACAACTGGAAGAGCTTTCATGTAACTGATGAGTTTGAGTCTGAGGGACATCTTAGCCTAAACTCATTGAAATTCTTGTGTTTATTGTGCAGTTGACAATGGACCTACATCATGAGTTTTTAGTGCAAAGCCTATATGCTTTATCAGACGGATAGAATGATCCTTTGCTCCATTGCTTCCCCTTCCAGTTCAAATTAGATCTGGGCCTCTACTGCCCCTAGGAAATAGAAGCCACACCTAAATGTACAGAGAAGCAACTTAATTCTTAGGTTTGGGGCTTTTAAGAGCTGGATCCTGCAGCCCCTTTCTAAGGGAAACTTTTGAGAGTTAATTTTGAGTATAATTTACCCATTATGCTCAGAGTAAAATCCTTTCTCTGTTTCCCTCGGTCAAGATGTGACTTTAAAAATTTTCTCAATGTTTCTGCAAATCAACTGGTGACTGATTTAGTAAATTTGATGGAGAATATGTATCTAATTCTGAGGCTGAAGTTAACTACATTTTGGCTGAAATACCAGTTGAATGGAATTCTCATCTTAAGGGTCAGTATCAACCAACAGTATTCCAGGATTAAAAGGAAGGAAATTTCAGTGCCATCATTATGTTTTTATATACAATTGTTCTTAAATCCTCCCTTGAAGTTTTCAGGAAAGATTCCACAGTTTCTTCGGATAGCATCTTTTTTCTGGGCCTTAAGTTTGGTCACTTGATACTTAAAAGGCTTGTGCTTGAAGAGTATTATGGCTTGAGAGTACTGATAACTGAATCAAATGCTGTCTTTAAATTTTTTTCCATTTTTTTCCCCTCATGAAATGGGACTGATTAGTCTTAACAAGGATCCTTAGTAGTTGTTCAGTATTGCAGAGTTGATCAAAACTAATGTACCAAACATCTAAGTGTCCTAAAATAAATTTTTTAAATCAAAATTCTTAAGGCTAAACAAGTTGAAGTAAGCGTCTTCCACTTATATAATGAGCAACCATAAAGTCAAAAGCTAGTAAAATCTATGTACTTAATATCTTAGACCCTTATTTGGTAACACTTAACTTTGGGCAAATAATACTTGCCTTTCTTGGATATTTGTAAGGTGCAGTTGATTTTTTCACATGATCCTGAAGTTCAAGAATTAATTTCTCTGGGTTGGATGATTTAAAGGGTGCAGATAAGACAACAAAAGCTTTCAC